TGTCTTTGTCCCTGTGCCAGAGTTTACTTATAAATTCGCAGCATAACATCAAACGTCTTGAATCTATGATATTAAATAAAATATTAAAAACTTATAATTTACTAAAATATATTATCCCCTAAAGGAGTCCCTTTAGGCAATGTCCCGAAGATACTGGCAGCGTTCCCCCTTTGTATAGCTTAACTAATTCTTTGTCCGAGGTAGCTGCCAGCTCTTCGGTCCCCTGTGATGTCGATTAACTTTTTTTTATTTACTTAAAAAATACAATAAGTGACAGAGAAGGATAGCAATAGGTTTTTTGTATACTCGTTTTAATATATCTATATATCTTACTATATTAAATCTAACAAGAGTGTGTACTGTAAGACAAAGATAAGTCCTTTTCTTATAAGGTGAGGATGGGAAGGGAACGTGAAAGCATAATATCCTCTTTCTGTGTATCCCTTCTGTCGATTAAATGAAGGCAACGCATCGGCAAATTCTATGGGTATTGGACACTTCGCTTTGGCGAATTCAAGTGGCCGCATGCTCATTTGCCACGTTAAACTGTTTTTTTTTTAGAAAAAAAACAAAACTAATTTTAAACAATAAGACTATAAACACATAGTTCCAATATACTTTGTTTATTGTCGAATGAAACACAAATGATTATCATAAACAATGTCGAATTTCATTAAAATACTTTTCAACTCAATTAAGCAATAAAATAGAGAAAAAAAATCCAATGGAATCTTGCCAAAGCACTAGGAAAGTGTCTTGATATTTTAGGAGTATCATGTTTGTTGAATGGTTATTTATATATTATATATAAACTAGAATTTTCACGTTTTTCGTCAAAATTTATGTTAGTTGATACGACAAATATTGCTTTTAGAACTCGCAAAAAGATATCGAAAACATTTCTTTTTGAACGTAAGAAAAATAATATTTTTGTCTAATAATTGTAGATACTTATTACTCTATTGTAAAGCTTTATACAGCATGTTTAAAAATATGCATTTATTATTTTGTTGTATTCAGCTACTTTATTACAAACTTGTAGACAATTTGGTGTTGTTTACTAGATTAGATTATTTTTAATAAATATCTGACAATTTTATACATAAGTTATTTGGAACATCCTATAGCAAGGATATGTTAAGACAGTATTGCGCGTTTACAATCTTGCCTTAAACCCGAGGAATGTATGGGCAAGATAAATTTATAAACATTATTGCCACTGGATTTGATTGGAATTTGGCTCGGTCCAGATACAGGAATTTAAAGTATCGACAATCTTATAATAGTTATGTATTTAAAATAAGTTAAAAATTATTAAATTAAGACGCCTATTTACTACTTATTCTTGTATTCCTATTAAAGTTCTCTATACATATTTTTTTTTATATCACAAGGTAACAAAAGAGCGAGCGGCGACCTGAAATCGCTGAAATAGCGAAGCGACCGCGGCTCATAGACATACGCAATTGCATATGCGTTGCCTACCTTTCATCGACGGAGGAGAGGTTGCACAGAAAGAAAATGTTTTCCCTTTCCTGCATCCTGCATCCTCTCATCCGGAAAGTCCACCTCCACCACCCATCCCCTCCTTACAAGAAAGAGGGTGGGAAGGGAAAGAGGACTATACAAGGCCTCCGGGACACACACTCATCAGACGAAACGCGGAATAGCTTCCACTTGACGTCTGTCTTCTGTGTGGTCGTGGTATTTCACCGGGCGACCCGGCCAAATCGTGCGAAGATGTTAAAGCGGGCTCTACCACTGTTGGTATCAATAATTAATCATATAAAACACGGATCAAATTAGTTCCACCTAATTAATTAATTGGTTCAACCTATGTTAAAGATCGTGCCAAGTACGTGATGTCGAAAATTGTCGTATTTGTATTACATCTTTCAGGCGGGGTTTTAGCCGCGAGTTTCTGACACCTAAATCCCGTTTCAAATATGTTATCTCGGTTTTGTTTCGTCAAAGACTGTGCCCGTGACTTCGTCCGCGTGAAATACTTTCTTTCGGTAGCAATTTAATTATTTAGACTATCTTTTTTACTTCAACTTAAAATTCATAACAACAAAACATATTAAACTCACAAAACATTAACATATTCCAAAACAAACTTTCATCCCCTATTGTTTGCACCCTTGACGGTAAAAAATTATAAACATTAAATGTCTTATTTGATGATTAACAGCCTAAAAAATAAGTAAAACTGACTATATTCCCATATTAATTTCCATCCCCACTTTTAACTCCTTACAAACCTTTTTCGCATTTAAAAGTAGCGTATGTCCTTCCATAGACTATCTTTGTGCCAAATTTCATTTAAATCGGTTCAGTAGTTTTTGTGTGAAGGAAGGATAGACAGACAGATAGACAGACTTACTTTCACATTTATAATTTTACGAAGGATTTTGATAACGGAAACTAATGTTAAGAGTTTGTAAACTAAATTTATTTCGTGCAAAAACGTTTTTGTTATTTCCATTCATATTTTCTCCTCATCAATTCTTCGTCACGTGAAATTGTTTTTATTATCGAAGTGTTTTTTGTTGTTGATTTTAATTAGGTTCATAAATTACGAGCGATTTAACCTTCTTCGATAATTTAAGTCGCATTTCGGTACGAATATAAGAATATTCGAACCGACAAAATATTAATATCAATCAAAAACTTATTACTTGCATATTTCAAACGCTTTGATCTTTGCTGAACATTCGGAGATGTTTCTAATGGTTCAGTTTCAGAGTTAACATGATTTAATGCCATAGTAATAATTTTACAATTTCGTACTACTTTATGTTTCATATTGTCTTGGAAAGTTGAAAAGGGAAATTGTTTGTGTTTGAAATCTGTTCTGGTTTTGAAAATAAACGATTCGTTTAAGCGTCTCTTTGTGTTTTGTACAGAATCGTCTTGATTAATTTATGATATACACGAGATGTTGTACAAGTGTGGGAAATATTTTTTAGGGTTCCATACCTCGAAAGGAAACAAACGAAACCCTTGTAGGATCACATTGTTGTCCGTCCGTCTGTCTGTCAAGACCAAGAAGTTTATTTTAGAAAAAATCTATTATTTTATAAAAAAAAGTACTATTGCAATGTCTATGTAATATCCAGTACCGCGCGCAGCGCAAAGACAGTATTTTACACGGACGAAGTCGCAGGCACAGCTTTTGGCTTAAATATAGAACGTAGTACGAAAGAGCTCATAGGCTACTAATTTAGTTTTTTTTTAATTTCGTGGGGACGGAGTCGCGGGCCACAGCTAGTTTATTAAAACATCTGAAATGTCTATTAAACTTATTTTCGTACGCGGAAAGATTTTAAATAACTCAAAATCCTTAATCCAGTTTCAAACGTGACGTTTTTGTTTCGAAAATAAATCGTAAATATTATTCGAAATTTAAATTTAGATCGAGTGAAATGGATTGCGAGAACGAAGGGAGTCGACAAACGTTGCGTTGAGTGGCATTCAGGCGGCCTACATATTCAGTCAGGAAATCAGACTGTTAAAGTAAATAAAATTAATTGCGCATTCCTTTATGATTTGTTTATGACAGATGTCAGTTAGAAAAAGATATTAAGCGAGATAAGAAGAAACTAAGTGGTGATTGATACATTTATATGTAAGCTGTCGCCTGCGACTCCGTCCGAGCGGGTTTAAAACAAAAATTTAATTAGTGGCCATAGGCTATAGTTCTGCCAGACTATGTTCTGGATGTGATGTGGGTGGATGGATGTGTGTTTGAAGATATCTCTAGAACGGCTGAACGGTTCTCCATTAAATTTGGCATACGTATAGAACATAGTCTGAAAAAACACATAGGCTACACTAATTAAGTTTTTTTTATATACCCACGCGGACGGAGTCGCGGGCGACAGCTAGTTATCCATAATTTGACCGATAACTTTCTATCAATAAACCTGTCGGTTCTGACGTAAACACAACGATCTGTCCTTCAATCTGTGTGTATATTTTTAATTTAATAATATCTGTAATACACAGGTTGCCAAGTATTTTGCGATTTATTTTATATTAATTTAAAATTGATACGGCGCCGACGTCTACAAAGATTTTGATAAACATATCCGGTCTTGTGACATTTCTCAGAACGTAAACTTTAGTTAATTTTACCTACAAAATATGTTTTAAAATTAATAAAATTTTATAATTTATGAATAACTAGCTGTCCCCCGCGACTCCGTCCGCGTGGATATATTAATAAAAAAAATAGTGTAGCCTATGTGTTCTTTTAGACTATATTCTATACGTATGCCAAATTTAATTAAGATCCATTCAGCCGTTCTAGAGATATCTTCAAACACCCATCCATCCAAACATTCACATTTATAATATTAGTAAGTTAAATAAAAAGCAGCTCTTCAAGGCATAAATTGGAAAAAAATAAAATGAATAAATATTATCCTATGTCCGTCTCCTGGTTCTAAGCTACCTCCTCATCAATTTTCATCCATATCGGTAAAGCCGTTCTTGAGTTATAAATAGTGTAACTAACAAGACTTTCTTTTATATATATAATATGTATATGTAGATATGCAGATGACCATGCTGAATATACCAATTGAAAAAGGAGATAGAGAAATAAATAAAACACTATTTCAATATGCAGAAAAATGATAGGGGCTAGATATTTCTTAGAATCAAAAATTAGTTTTTAATTTTTTTTTGTTTTATAATTATTAGCTGTCAATTATTCCGTGCCCGTGTTTAAAAAAAAGTTAATAAGTAGATGTGTTCTTCCAGACTATGTTCTACATCTATGCCTTTTATCCAGATTCATGCTAGAGATTTCTAACATCCAACTATGTATCCAACCAAACATTCGCAATATTAAACATCAAACGTCTGTCTATTCGAACAACATTCACAGTTTAGGTCGAAGTAATTTAAAAAAAAATGTATAAAATATAACACTACACTATACAAAACAAACAAAAAAACTAATTAAATTATACAGTCACGAAGAAAGTGAATAAATGGCGTTTATGAGTGGCCTCTGGAATTCAATCGTTGGTGGCAACGAGAAAGAGATAAATTGGAACGAATTCTCTACATTATACTTAGACAGTCGTCTCAAATACTTCTCTGTGTCTGAAATTGATAAAGAAGCATCGCCTATAGTTTATGCTGAAGCGCATAAGATAACCTTTAATAAAACAGGACTAGGTCTAAGTTACACGCCGTTGAACTTCGTCACGATATTCCACATCGATACAAGAAAAGGTTGGTTATATACATTGTTATGTACAGTTAAACATGTTTCGAGTATAAAAAATGTGCACATGATACCTTTTTCTTCTTAATTCATATTTTTCTAACGACTTTTAGGTCATTATGGCATATTGTTTTTTGCCACGCATAGTACATCTAAAAATTTAGATACACAAGATGTTTCTCAAAATTAAAACGAATTTTGTCATTATTTTTAAATGTCTACATACTCATAAATACATAGTTTATATTGTTATATCCTTAGCATGGAGAATTGCCTTTTTGTATCCTGTATATATTACCTTTTTATTATTTTTAGAACATATAATTAAATGTGACCAAAACCTATTGACCATCACCAAAATAACCCTTATTAACCGACTTCAAAAAGAAGGAGGTTCTCAATTCGTCTGTATTTTTTTTGTAATTTTTTTTAGAGCTTTATATATTCTTTAGTTGACGATATAATTAAGTAACTACGTTATTTCAATGTACAATATTATAATCGATGTTTCTTATATGTGTGATATTCCAGCGGAGATCAGAATGCCGAGCGGACACGTGGACCAGCCGGTGATAGAGGACAACCGAGATGGTACCGTCAGCATAAAGTATGACCCGCGTGAGGAGGGCGTCCATGAACTCTACGTGAAATACAACGGGGAACATGTACAAGGTGCGTTCAGTTTCCATTGTTAAACACTTGTATAAAAACATGTTGTTCGTCTCTTTAATTCTTAAAAATAGAAAGTACAAGTCGTTTAAATTTCAAATGTTTGAGACCGGCATGTACTAAAGGCCGTGTAGTTCTTGAAATTTTGCATATCTAAGAAAAAAAATGTTTCAAATTTTTCCGATTCAAAGATTGTAATCGCATCGAGTAATAGATTTAAAGACCTAGTCTAAAAGATAGACTCTTCTAATGTCCATTGCATGTCTTAATTAAAGGTCTATTATTGAGTGTATCGGTTAAATTATAAATATTTTCATTTATAAAATTGTTGTGTAAAATTTCGGAATTTGGAAAGAACACGTTTAAATATTACTTAAATTGAATCATTTTAAAATTCTCGAAAAACTGTCCCAATTCTGGTTATAACCTGTATTGTTGCTATTATGATATTTTATTCAAAGTCACGTACAAAAAATTTCAAAATACCCACATAAATATACCACAGTTAGTACTTTTCGTGCGATTACTTTACTTCGTAAGCTGTACGTCGTAACGTATATTATAAATAGATAATTAAGATTTACAAAAGTACAGCCAGCAGCATACGATATGACTTCTTTTTGCCATTATATTTTTTATTGTTCTAGAGTAAGTTGTACTTATTGTTTTTACTACAGTAATAAATATTATCTCTTGTTTCCACAGGTTCCCCATACAAGTTCCACGTGGATTCCATCTCGTCTGGATACGTGACGGCGTACGGGCCGGGTCTGGTGAGCGGTGTCAGTGGTGAGCCCAGCCAGTTCACCATCAGCACCAAGGGAGCCGGTTCCGGAGGACTGTCTATGGCCGTAGAGGGGCCGAGCAAAGCTGAGGTTATAGGTTTAATTGTTTCAAATAATTATTTTAAGGAAAATTGAATAGTGTTAGAAATTAATTATTTAAGTTTTATTTTGTTAAATCTGTCGCACTCGACTCCGTTGCACAAATTAAAAAAAAACGTAATTAGTAGCCTATGTTTTCTCTCAGTCTATGTTCTATATGTGTGCCAAATTTCATCAAAATCCGTCAAAACGTTTCGGAGATACCTCCATCCATCAAAATATTCGCATTTATAATATTGGTAAAATATTTATGTTGATTCCATATGAGCTCAGGACCTAGGAATTTTATATTGCCGTGTAGTCTTCTTTTCACGTTCGATTATAAAAACAAATAATTCCTTATTGTTACTAAGACAGTTAAAGTACTAAAAACTCTTTATTCAGCTCTTCTTATTAAGCTCTTCAAAAGCATTCATTTTAACTTTGTAACATTTGCAGATCACTTGTCATGACAACAAGGACGGTACTGTAGCTGTGTCGTACTTGCCCACTGCACCCGGAGAATACAAGGTCTCTGTGAGGTTTGGTGATAAGCACATCAAGGGATCTCCCTTCACTGCTAAGGTAGGAAACTCTGTTGGTGATATTAACTAGTAGTAATTAATTTCTTCCTACATTAGGCAAAAGATAATTTTGTCTAGGTTTGATTACCAGATATATAAAATGTTAACAACAATCATATTAAATTGGCTAAAACACTGATGTATGTCTGTCCGGTGTCGGCACCGACTAATAACGCAGTGAGATGGGGGCCGCGTCCGCAAAATACCAGTTCCACTCACCATGATTAGAGTCCCCGATGGACTCAAATCTAGTCGGTGCCGACACCGGACTTTTATAAATTTAACAATCATATTAAAACAGAAAAAAATTGTAACCATTTCTTAAAGAAACGTAATGTTTTCAATTATATATATGCAGTATAATGTCATTGACTAGTGTAAAAAGCTATTGTTTGTATTATATTTGCAGGTGACAGGTGAGGGTCGTAAGAGGAATCAGATCTCAGTGGGCAGCTGCAGCGAGGTGACGTTGCCTGGCAAGATCAGTGACAATGACATCCGCAGCCTTAACGCTTCCATACAGGTACTAATCCTTTACATACACCAGCAAAAATAACATTTACTGCATGAATGTGTTCCTGGTGCAATACCATGATCAAAAAGAAGGCAGACCTCAAATGGAAGCAATTTCGGAAGCATTAGATTGCATGTATGGATATTTAACTCTTGAGTGTTCGTTCCGTAGGCCTTATCTTAATCTTCTTTTTAATCATTCTTTTTCTTATAAGGAAAGGATGAGAAGGGGAAGTGTATTTGACGATCGAGGCTACATATAAAAAGGGAAAATATTCTATTTTGCTTCCTCGTTTACAATTTTAATATATCGAAAAAACATTTTAAATTTCAACCTTCATTTCATTACGTTACCAATTCTATTTACTTGTGCATCTCTTATTACAACATTCAAGCTTCATAGCGATTTATATCGGATAAATCCACTACGAGTAAAGGAAAATGTGCAAAGCCCGTCTCTCATCCTTTTACATCTCCCAAATACCTTAAAAATATATTTAACGCTTGGTAATTAATCTGCCAGAAAGTTTAATACCATCCAATTCCCAGGCTCCATCCGGTTTAGAAGAGCCTTGCTTCCTCAAGCGTCTACCATCAGGCAACATTGGTATCAGCTTCACACCGCGTGAGGCAGGTCAGCATGTCGTCTCTGTGAAGAAGTTGGGTGTGCATATTCAGAACTCTCCCTTTAACATCACTGTGCTGGATCAGGAAGTTGGTGATGCTAAGAAAGTTAAGGTAAGCTAGAAGATCACCATCATCATCAGCTCATTATACTTCCCCACTGAGGGGCTCGGACCCCTAAGGCAGTTAGTTTATCTTTGGATTTCTTCTCAAATATGTGCAGGTTGTATCACGATGTTTTCCTTCACCGTAAGAACGTCAAATACGATGAAAGCTTATTGTGAAATTCCATTAATAATTCTTCAAACAGATGGAATTTTGAAAGTCTTTTGCACATTATATTAACAATTTGGATATTAAAATTGGGTTTAACTATGAAGTTTAGATTTTATCTGTGAATTTGTAAAAAATTAAATAAAAATTACATCATAAACTGATATAAAAACACGGCTAAACACTCAAGTATTAGTCCGGTGGCGGCACCGACTAGTACGAGCCCATCGGGGGCCCTTCATCAGCCGTTTTTATATAAGTTTATTATAATGTCTCACGAAAGTTTTCTGGAGTATGGAGGAGTACATACTGTGCCTCCATAGGGATAAGGGCTGGATGATGAGATTTTTTACTGAGGTATAAAATTACCAGGTGTCAGGCACAGCGCTGAAGGAAGGCAAGACTCACAGTGAGAACACATTCACTGTGGATACGAGGAACGCGGGATATGGCGGTCTCTCTCTGTCTATTGAAGGTTTTTAATTTTATTTCTTTTTTAATTATCATTGTAAAATAATCTCCTTTTAATATAACAGAAATGTGTCATGTAGAGTTTCAACGTCTGTCAAGTTTTGACGTTAGGGCGCGGTTGGGCGTCCGCCCAGGGCGATGTACAGACAATGGGCGTCACTGGTCTTACGTAACCTTGTTACCAAAGACATAAAGGAAACGTATCATCCAAAGCTCTGGTTACGCTAAATCTTTTTTTTTATATAATATATTAATTCCTAAAAAGTTACACTTTAATTTAAACCATGCCCCGTATAATTGTTTACGCAGTTTGACTGCTAACCTGGTAATGTTAACACCAGGTCCCAGCAAAGCTGAGATTCAGTGCGCGGACAGCAAGGATGGTGTGCTCGCCATCAGCTACAAGCCCACAGAGCCGGGATACTACATCGTCAACCTCAAGTTTGCTGACCATCATGTTGAGGGTTCACCTTTCACTGTTAAGGTAACTAATTAAAGGATTTTTAGCATGCTTTTACTAGTGTTATAAATGTGTGAATGGATGGATGGATGTTGGAAAGTATCTGCAGAACATCATGGATCTTGATGAAATTTGGCATAAATGTAGAACATAGTCTGGAAGTACACATAGGACATGTCAATAGTTTTTTTTTTAAATTCTGTGTGGATAGAGTCGCGGGCGACAGCTATGTTTAGTAAACTGTTCAAAGAAAGAAACTTTGTGGCAAAGAAATACGTAAGTATAAATACAGTCAAACCTAGATAACTAAGAAACCTTTAGAAGCGAGAAAATATCGCAGTCCCTTGGAATATCGCTTACTCCGTTTCAAATTGTGTTTTATTTAAAAAATCACAATAACAACGATAGACTTACGTCTTTTTTTTTTATAAACCACAGATTTTTCGTTATGATTTAAATCATTTCGGTCATATTTCTTAATTCGAGTCAATTTGTGAAGATATTTCGGTACAAACTAATCTAAAGTAACTTAATTTAGGCTCAAACCAGATGATATGTATGAAGAAATACAAAAAAAAAAACAATTTTTAATTTTAGCGCCATCTATCGCAATGTCAATACACTTCATTATACTTGAGTTGAATATTTCATCCACCAGGTGGGCGGAGAGGGCAGCAACAGACAGCGCGAGAAGATACAGCGACAGCGAGACCCCGCGCCCCTCACTGAGGTCGGCACTAACTGCAAACTTACGTTCAAGATGCCCGGTAAGCTCATTCTAGCACTAACAACAATGGTTAGGCAATTGCTTGGAGATAACAACTTTTGTTTTGTTCCTTTTTAAAAGCGCCTGCTGATGTTACATGACTACTTCAGTGATAGTCGAATAAGCATAAAATACATCGTTCAATAGTCAGTCCATTTATAGAGGTTTCTAGACTCTTTCAAACTAGTTTTCATAGCTCAAATATATGTAATTGTGATGTTGGCACTGGAATTAAATAAAAAAATGTTGCCTGTTGTCTGTTCGTAAGGCCACGTTTGTTCTGGCTAGTATACGGCTGGATCGGTTTTGACGGGACTTTTACGGGAAAGTAGGTGATTCCCCGGGAATGTTACAGGCTACGTTATTATCAATTGTGTGCTGACAAAGTCGCGGGAGACCACTAATATATCATAAAATTATAGTGGGCATCAAACATTTTATAGGAAAAGTTTAAAACAATCCTAGCTAAAACTTTTTTCAAAGTAAAAATAGTTAAGTGGTCCTTTGGTGCCAAGTTACTATGAGAATTCTATACTTAGGAACTGTTTAGTAACTGAATTTTGTAAAGTACTTATAAAATGTTGCCAGGTATAACGTCATTTGACCTTGCGGCGACTGTGACGAGTCCGGGCGGCGTGTCGGAGGACGCGGAGATCCAGGAGGTGGAGGACGGCCTCTACTCTGTACACTTCGTGCCCAAGGAGCTGGGCGTCCACACTGTCTCCGTCAAGTACAGGGAGATACATATTCCTGGTATGTATACGTATGTCATTGTTAAATATTCCTTTGTCTTTTTAACCCGGAGTAATCTATCGTTCTTCTTACTAATAATATAAATGAAAAAGTTTCGCTGAAATTTGGTATAAATGTAGAACATAATTTGGAACTACACATAGTTTACTAATTAAGATTTTTTTATTTTAATTCAGCGCGGACGGAGTCGTGGGCAAAGCTATATTAAAAAGACTTTCTATTTCAAATGAAGAATAACGCCATCTAGTAAAAAATATTAGCAATTTATCTTGATGTAGAAATTAGTATTTTTAATGAATCCTAATTAACTTACTTTCAGGTTCCCCGTTCCAGTTTACTGTCGGTCCTCTTCGTGACTCCGGAGCTCATTTAGTGAAAGCTGGCGGCGCTGGACTGGAGCGAGGCGAGGCTGGCCGCTTCAACGAGTTCAATGTATGGACGCGCGAGGCCGGCGCTGGACAGCTGGCTATCTCACTGGAAGGACCGAGCAAAGCTGAGATTGATTTCAAAGATAGGAAAGACGGATCCTGCGATGTGTCATACAAGGTCGATGAACCTGGTGAGTTATATTTTACTTCTTACTAATATTAAAAATGCGAAAGTTTAGATGTTTGTTAGAAGGTATCTTTGGAACGACTAAACCGATCTTAATGAAATTTGGCACAGATGTTAGACAAACTTTTTAAAAACACATAGGCTATTCCTCAGAGGGTTCATATTTCTTAGAATTGCGCGCGGACTAAGTCGCGGGCGTCAGATAGTATATACATAACTGCCAAACGAGTAAGTGACTACCTGAATTCGTTGAAATAGCGAAGCAACCGCTGCCCATGGACAAACGCAATTGCAGATATATCGCCTTCCTTTAATCGATAGAACAGGGAACACAGAGAAAGAGAATATTTCATCTACATATGAGTCCCCTCCTCCGCCAAATCCACTTACCTTATAAGGAAAGGATGGAAGGGGAGGAGGAATCACTTCCACTTGAGGCATGTCTTCTGTGTGGTCGTAGTATTGTACCGAGCGAAGCACATTCGTGCAACAGATGTTATTGTCTCGTTTCTTTCGCATGAGAGGTAAAATGCCTCTGATGCCTTATCTGCTTTAAAGGAAGCGTTAATTAACCACGCACAGTAATTTAAGGAGAACTGAGAGACTTCCTTAGTGTGTTTTTAGAGTTCGGTACCCCGAAACGAAAAATACCTTATAGGATCACTTTGTTGTTCGTACGTCTGTCTGTCAAGACCCTTTTTTAATCTAGACCAAAGTTAGCAATTAATAATTGGTGTTCCTAAGTCTATGACTATGACGTTATTCAATTGTGATCCTTTAAAGTCAGAAATTAAAATCCAGTATCCTAAAAAAAACAAAAACACGGTCATGCTTTGCTCAAACTGTACCAACAAACGCGACTATGGCGAGTTATATTGACATTTCATAAATATTTGATCAACACGCTACCAAATTACACTTGACTTGGGATTGTATAAATATTTTACTTTAACTACGTCACTAACCGTGTGTTTCTGAGACCTCTGTATGAACACATCGTCATCCCAAATCAATGCCAAAATAGAGATAAGAATATGTGTTAATTGTTAATATCTTGGTCTCAGAAACACACTGTACGTTATTAGATTTTTATAAGGCCGTAGTAACTTTTACAAAGTCTTCGTTTAATTAGTTTCGTTACTACATATTTGTAAATTATGTATCGAACTTAACTAATTAAATAATTAAAAGTCACAGCAAAATAAAGATATTTTTTCTAAATTTGAACAGTAAATAAAAGAAGTAAATAAGTTTTTAAGCTTAAATTATTTGTAGTCCACGAAATATCTTACATGTCCAAATGTTGTCAACTCCCGAAATTACTGCATTCTTTTACCATGAATCAGGTTCACAAAACATGTAATCTTACTAAAAGTTGGTTTGTTTACATTTTTTTTCGTAAAATTTTGCTATAGTTTTCTTTTTTAAAGCATAGTTTATATTTGTACTTAGCCAGTGTTAAAAATTAATAACATATAAATATAACTTAGAAATATGCCAAGACGGACTCTTAATACACTAAGTTAAAATTTTTAATATGAAATCAATCATCATCATCAGCTCACTATACGTCTCCACCGAGGGGAGCCTACCCTAAGTTAAGGGTGATTAGGCCATAGTCCACCACACTGGCCAAGTGCGGGTTGGTTGCATCACGATGTTTTCCTTCACCCTAAGAACGTCGGATAAATGTACATATGTAAATCGGAAATCGAAAAACACATTGGTACATGGCGGGAATCGAACCCAGGACCTGCAGATTGCAAGGCAAGTGCTTGACCACTGAGCCACCGACGCTCCGACGACCGATGAAATCAATAGTGCCTCGAAATAGGTCTATATAACAGACTGTAGAAAGTACTCTTTGTTATATGTAGTACAAAGGAGACTTAAGTTTAGTATTCCATAGTATTATATATATCTTATATATAAAATTCTCGCGTCACAATTTTCGTTCCCATACTCCTCCGAAACGGCTTGACCGATTCTCATGAAATTTTGTGAGCATATTGAGTAGGTCTGAGAATCGGCCAACATCTATTTTTAATCCCGCGCGGACGGAGTCGCGGGCGACAGCTAATATGTATTTGAATTATTAATGTCTGCTAACTCTGAGTTGCTGATAACGAAAAAGCTTGATTTGATTTTAATATTTGTCTATCCGCATGGGCGCGTTTGACTCGGGTAATTTTTGGAACAACTGGACCGATTTGAATAGGATGGTGGTCGTTGCCCACGGGAATAATTTACGCTATTTTTTTTCTACCCTGACGAAGTTGAGAAAAGTTAGTTTTATTGTTACAATTAACTCAACACAACAGTGGTAGAGCTCGCTTTAACATCTTCGCACGGTGAAATACCACGACCACACAGAAGACAGGTGTCAAGTGGAAGCAATTCCGCGGGAAGTCTGATGAGTATGCGTCGGAGGCCTAATTTAGTCCTCTTTCCCTTTCCACCCTTTTTCTTATAAGGAAAGGATGGGAAGTGGAAGTGGACTTTCCGGATGAGGGGATGAATGGAAAGGGAAAATATTTTCTTTCTGTGCATCCTCTCCTCCGTCGATCAAAGGTAGGCAACGCATATGCAATCGCGTATGTCTATAGGCAACGGTCACTTCGCAATTTCAGGTGGCCGCTCGCTCGTTTGCCACCTTATGACATAAAAAAAAATTAGAATCTTCAATGACGTTTATTTTCAACAGTAATATAATTTATAGTAAGTTTTAATTACACAAATGCTACGCGATGCATATCAACATTCCCGTGTGGCAGCGTCTGCTTATGTTTGTTGTTGGCGCATTTGCTCCAACATATACCAACATATATGTTGAATAAAATGCACTTCATAAATAAATCAACCCGGTCCTGACTCGACCACGCCTTCCCAACTGACCGTCCAATCGCGACCGCCTTCCTTCCAGCGCCGGTTAAATTTACTGCGAACCATTTTGACAGTTCGATTTTTTAAATTTGTTTTCTTTCTTTTTTGTCCTTTTGCCCTGCAAATGACCACAGACTCGTGCTGTTTTTGTTTTTTTTTTTGAAAAAAGTGATAATGGCTCTTGCTATTCCGTATTGACTGACCGCTGTCAGAATTTACGATACGTCCTCGTATGAAATACGTTAATAGCGAACTCGGGACAAAATGGATTCAGGCATTTATTTGGTATGTAAAGGGTTTGGTATAGAAGGGATAGGTTTATACGATCAAATATGGTCAACAATAATAATGCGAAAATTTCATAGTTTTTTTTTCTTAAATTTAAATCATAGTAAGTGTTTCTTTATACGTTTTCAATTAGCATATAAACATATATGTATTTATGATGCTTTTAGCAAAAAGGTTTGATGAATTTTGATTTTTTTAATTTGTGCTTCAAAGAATAGACCTAAAGATTGAAGTTTGTAGACATTAGTTCGAACTCCAAAAAGCTTACACCTCTAAGGCCAGGAAGAATATTAGCGACTGTTGTTAAATTATACTTCTAGACTAAATTAGTTAGTAATTTAGACGTAAACCGCAATTTAAAACAGTCATTACATGGCAACATTTAACAATAATGCAAATAACACATTTGCAAACCTAATGTTGCCCTCCCTAACGACTTAAATCGCGATTAGAAGCAGCTGACGGCTTTAATTGTTCTAAAATACATTACGATTATACTGGAAATTATTGAATAGTTCATTTTATATACATTTGTTACATTCATATTCATTTTATAGATATCCGCTTGATAGATACATGCAAGTATTTTTTTTATTTTCCCCTATCGGTCGACTCCGTCCGCACGGAATTAAAAACAAACTTAATATGTAGCCTATGTGTTGTTCCAGACTATGTTTACATACACATACATACTATGATCCATGTAGCCGTTCTGGGGGTACATTCAAACAAACATCCATCCATCTAAACATTCGCGCATATGTTAAATCTACATGAGTTTACTTATATTAGAAAAATTCTATAATACAATAGGCTGTCATTAAATGGTAACTTAACAGTGTCGCATAAGAAAACTCCTTTATCATGGAACTCTTTAAATAACCCTTGATTCTGAGTATGGCAGAATGTCAACGTAATTTCTATTGGTACACAATATAATTTTTGAAGTCGGAAAATAGGTAATTCTTTTCAAATAGCATAGGTAGCTTTAATTTCGTGTTTGCTAAGTTTCCATGTATCAAAACAATCAATCGGTCAATCAAATGAAATAGACTGAAAGCGAAATGCGGGAGTCGTTCGTCCAAAAACCCGTTCGTGCCAACATTCCATCATAGCGCGTTGTCTCCTTTTGGAGACTTTCAAAACTTCTTTTTTTTACCACAACGATTATATCCAACGGGCAGTCAATTAAAATGACTCTTAAACACCAGAAGCCAGGAATGCGGGCCCTAAACCGAATTTGTCCCGAGGCCCATTGTGTTTGGATTCGCAAAAAAGTTTCGCAGCATCCGACAAAGAAGCGGTGCCTTTTTGTTGAAGGATATTTCATAAGTGTATCCAGATTAGAAATTTTCTAAGTTATTCTCAACTTATAATGACTTAAGCTTTAACTAGATACGAAAGTTAGGCGACAGGTATTCCGTTGTTACTGTTTGCTTATTTTTAGAGGCGGCTTTTGTGAATTTTATTTCTTCTTTCGGCATCTGATGATTTACTATAACCAAAATATTTATATCTACATAAGAACTAACTTCCTTTATAAACTAGTAATTGCCCGCAACTTCGTCCGCACAACAGTGAAAGAATTTATTCAAATCGGTTCGGTATTTTCGGGGCATATTCAATGCAAACAATCAAATTTTTCCTCTTTATAATGTTAGCATAGATTGTTACTAAATCATGTACAAGTTTTATTAGTCTTGATTTACAATAGATAACTAATTTAATCAATGGATTTCATTGCGTTAAAATTCGATTTTTGCTCTCCTGAAAGCCAAAAATGAAAGGACATTTGTTAGGATAAATTCCCTCAGTATTGTCAGTTACAATACAATATGACATTTCATAAATAGACCCACGGATAGACGTCAAACTTGTATGGGTTTCTAGTAATGAGGATAAATCCTATAAGTTATGTTATTTATACCTATAAGTTAAGTCCTATAATCCTATAAGTTTTTCTAGTAATGAGGATTTATCCTGTGTGTCTAATACACAAAGATCTCAACCACCAAATACAAAACTACATTAATTAAAAATTTGCTAAGACGTGGAACAAAACAGAGTTCTATTTAATTTACAGCATTTAAAGTTTTTGTAAATTATACTTGTGAATACTTGATCTATATATTTTGTGCTCTCTTTAAATCCACGTGCGTCGAAATATTACACAATGCACCTGCATACATAAAAAGACTGCAATTTTTTTTTGTCCCAAAAAAGGTTTAGAAAAACAAGGATACCGGGCATCGAACTTTGTCAATACTTGCATCATTTAAATAAGGACATCATTATTTGGTTTGTCAAGTCACACTGTCTTTAGTTAACTTCAGATTAGAGATAAAGATTGAAAAGATCAGATATAAAGAGAAAGCATCATAATATGTAGGAGGACATCGAACACAAGATTTAAATTATGAACATGTTGCTAGTTGAAATAATAGTATATTAGAGGAAGTTTGAAAGTAGCGCCAGTGATCGAGAAATTGAGGAGTAAAAGATTAGCGTGGTTTGGACATGTTATGCGGAGGGATGATGATGATATAAGCAAAAAAGTAATGAGTTTGAATGTGGATGGCTACAAGGGTAGAGGAAGATCGAAAAAAGTATGGAATGACTGTGTGAAAGAGGATATGCGTAAGAAGGGGATAGACTCGGATATGACGGCTGATACAGATGTATGGAGGAGTAGTACATACTGTGTCAACTCTCGATAGAGATAAGGGCAGGTTGATGATGTTGCTAGTTGGAATAAATTAACAAAAAATAGTTAAGTTTTTAGTAGGTTTTGATTTTGAAATTTTAATATGTTTAAACGTGATAATAGTGCCATTTGCCACGCAAATAGCACTATTATCAAGGATTAAATAAAAAAATAATGCTTTTTTCACTCCGCTAACAAAAAAGTGAAATACAAGAGAAATATTTGAATGTAAATAAATCCCGAACAACATTACGGCCACCGCGAAGCAACTGTTTATTGAAAAAAAGATGAGGAAAAAAAATGAGAAAGAAATTGGGTAAAAATTTAAATTTCCCTGCGATGTGGCACACGAAGAAATATTGCTTGCTTCGTTAGTTCTTTATTCAGATTGAGTGACATCTCCGCGGCCGTGAGGTTTTTTCATTCGATTCAAATTTAGTTTTTCGTCCAATTTCATCGGGTTTTTTAAGGCAACCAGTGAATTTATTGTTGCATTTGTCGGGATTCTGTGAGGGATAAGGCTTAGTTGATATGTCGCTACCGGTTCCATCTGTCGGGACGTTTGAAGACATAACAATTAGTTTTGACACTATTATTCTCTTCCTGTTATTTAATGTAATATTTTAATAGGATGTCTCCTTTTCCTTGTCTTTATCATCAATAGAAGTGAAACTAACGATGGTTGCAATTTCTAGAAAGGTCTTCGTCCAGCATTCCGTCTTTTTCTTTCCTCCTACAACACTTTATATTTCTGTGATATCTTCTACAGAGCGTCGGTGACTCAGGTCCTGGGTTCGAATCTCGCCATATACCGACGTGTTTTTTTGATTTCCGATTCACATATGTATATTTATCCGACGTTCCTACGATGAAGAAAAACACCGTGATGCAACCTGCACATATCTGTGAAGAAATTTAAATATATGTGTGAAGTCAACCAACCCTTACTGGGCAAGCGTGGTTGACTATAGCCTCGTCACCCCTAACTTAGGGCAGGCTCCGAGTCCCTGGGTGGGAACGTATATGATGATGAAAATAATGATGCCTTAATCTGTGTCCTGCTCAACTTCTCGTATAAAATTGCGAGCCCACAATAAATTTGGTCGACACTGTACCTATCCACTAACATATTAGTCTTGTACCAATGTTCAATACTCCACTAAGAATATATGTAACTTCAATTTTCTTACTCGATTCTTCTTAATTGACTATGTTTTGTCTCCCACTAGGTGAATACCGCATCGGATTGAAGTTCAATGAGCAACACATCCCAGATTCGCCGTTTAAGGTGTACATCTCTCCAGCGGTGGGAGACGCGCATCTTCTAGAAGTGGCTCAGTTCCCGGATTCAGCGCAAGTCGACAAGCCAACTCAGTTCTATATCAGATTGAACGGGGCTAAAGGCAGTCTTGATGGACGGGTGAGTATACTGATTCTTATTTTCATACATTTATATTTATTCCTTATTTTATGAATACGAAAGACGAAAACCAATATTTTTAAAAGTTCCAAACTTTTAGGAGATTTCTGAGTATACAGACTGATTTTCAAAGAAATTTTTAGTAATTATATATTAGAGTATTAACAAATTAAGTTAAATTAATTACTTATCAAACACATATTACAATAATTAGCCTTATTCATTGTAAAGTTCTTGTAATTAGTAGGTAAGTAATGATTAGGAGTATAGGGTAGTATAAGTGAAGGAAAACATCGTGATGCAACATACACCTGAGAAGAAATTCAAAGATATGTGTGAAGACAACCAACCCGCACTTGGCCAGCGTGGTTGACTATGGCCTAATCACCCTTAACTTAGCGTAGGCTCCGAGCCCCTCGGTGGAGACGTATAGTGAGCTGATGATGATGATATCGCATAGGAATTAAATCAGTTTGTGAATTGGCTTTTAGTGTATTGTATTTTATATTGAGATTCAAATTCTCATAATTCGCGGCGAATCACACGCGTACAATATGTCTGCCAATATCCAGTGAGCCGGAGGGGTCAGTTTGATTTATCGTGTGAACATGACGGCGTCCAGTTGTGTGAACGGGACTTTATGATCGATGGTTCTCTATGAAAAAGAAATCTGTTGATAAACGTAAGCTCCTTACAGATAAAATTTATGATTTTCAAATTTTATGTTGGCTATTTTGTTATAAAAGAAATCGCTTCAAAGTTGTAGTTTACCCTTGATTCTTTACGTTTTCGCGTGTGTTTGGATTATTCATTGTTCAGTTTAAGTTTTTCGATGTCCTTTTGTATACATGTTTAGTATTGAATTTAACCATTTTTTAAAGACTTTGGCTAATGTTGAGAAATTCCACAAAAGAAAAAAAACTTATGAATTAAACTTTTAGTTTACTATAACAAAATATCAAGTATTAATATTATTATAATATGAATTCTGAAAGTTGGTTAAATAACTAAAAACGTATAAATCAAGAGCAGCACATGGCTTACCCCAATTTTTTCCTCAAACAAAAAAAATGTAATAAAACTGACCGAGCGCGCGTGTCCGGAGCGCGGATAAATCACACGTCTTCTTAATATTTGATAACAGCTCGCTACCAGATGAATACAAAGCGAAGTGATCCGAACTGAAGCGAAGTATCGCGATGCGTTATAAAAATTAATGCTCCAACTTTTCACGAATACAGTTTGGTATACTTTTTATTTGCACGCGTGATTTACTTTATAAACACAAAATGTTGGAACAAGTTATTATTTTTCCGTTTCATTATGACGTGGTTTTCTTTATTGAATTATTGTGCAATTATTGCGTAGAAGAATGGACTAAATCAATTTTATCACATCAATAATTCAGAGCGTTTGGGGACTGAAAGGGTTTTCGTAATGTAACTTTTTGTGACGAAAAAATTACTGGCCTCAAAGATAGAGCGATAAAATTACGTTTTTGTACAAGTTATAAAACAGTAAGGTAATGTAGAAAAACCAAAACTTTTATTCCGTCCGCGTGGAATAAATAAAAAAACTTAATTAGTGTCCTTTGAGTTCTTCCAGACTATGTTCTACATCTATAACAAATTTCAGTAAGATCCATGCAGTCGGTCTGGAAATACCTTCTGACAAACATCCATCCATCCAAACATACGCATTTATAATAATAGTAAGACTTAGCGACGGGATATTAAGCAGTGCACGGAAACCTGGTCGTGATTTTAAGCTTCCTTTGATTGTAGGTAATCTCTCCATCTGGCAAGACTGATGATTGCTTCATCCAGAACATCGATGGGGACCAGTACTCTATCAGGTTCATGCCACGAGAGAACGGAGTACACAATATCAACGTCAAGTTCAATGGCGTCCATATTCCTGCATCCCCGCTCAGGATTAAGGTATTATAATATTCAAACTTTATGAAAGCTCGTAATTACCTGTGAACATGTCTTTCAGGTGTACCTTGGCCACACATCGCCTTTATTCTTTTTTAATATATCTTGTACCATTCCAATTAACATCTAGGCTTGTGCGAGTCTACAATAGTCGAATGGCGGGATTTAAACACTAGATCCCGTGATCGAAAGTCCTTACCCTTAACCATTAGGCTATTGGCGCTCCGAAGGGTGTGCTGCTAATACTTAAAAATGTATTTTGTGTAGTGTCTACATACGTACGTATGCGTAATTGCTAGCCGTTGTAAAGTTTGAATGATGCTATACTTTGCTATTCATGACTATTGCTATTGTCACTAAAATTATTTTATTCGTTGTGATAATACTTAAACACAATATAATTTTTATATTATTTACTTTTACATGCCTTTAAATAGTAGCGTCTACATGTGCTTAGATATAATATGGAGCTCGTGCTCCATGCTGATATGTATGCTGATGCCGTATGCTGATATTGGAGTACTTATTACTGTTTTAATATTAGGTTGGAAAGGACGATGCAGATCCAGCAGCGGTCCATGCACATGGTCCCGGTCTAGGAGCTGTTAAAACTGGTAAATTCTTAAAATGATTCGTTTTTTAAAGTAGGAAGAAAGTAAATATGGATAACTAGCTGTCGTCCGCGACTCTGTTCGTGCGAAATTAAGAAAAAAAAAACTTAGAAGCCTATGTATTCTTCCAGTCTATGTTCTACGTCTATGCCAAATTTAATCGAGATCAGTTGAACTGTTCTGGAGATACCTTCTAACAAACATCCATCCATGGTAAGAAAGTAAGATGTATCTACTTATTAATCTTGTTTTACAAATTATATTTGGTATATTTGTCATATCAGGAGCGAAGACGGATCTTATAATCGACACGTGCAATGCTGGTATGGGTATCCTCGCTGTCACAATGGACGGCCCCTCCAGAGTCGCCATGGACTGTACTGATGTTGAAGAAGGATACAAGGTATGATTTAACTAACTGGTGTACTCAGTTGATTAATGATTACTTCCCTAAGTGTAGATTTCTAATACCAATACTAAAGATTCAGTTAGTTTTAATTTGAACTTGATTATAGATCCCGCTGGTGTGGACTAGCGGAACAAATATCTTAGTTTAGTGACATGTACAGTCGGCGAATTTGTCGGTGTTTCAGTTTAAAAGCAACGTTCGGTTGAACGTTTAGTACGCACTGAAAAGACTACGTGATACCAAAACCAATAGGATGCAGCTTTAAATGCATCTGTGCACTTTTGTATGTAATCCCATCGTATGCGTAACTCACTGAGACCTAATTTGTTACGTTTTAAGAAAAGGTAGAATTTATCTTCTTGCAAGAAACAAGGAACACCGCGGATTTCCGCGACTGTACATGTTTGTTAAATATTTACATGTTTTGTCTGCCAGGTACGCTACACTCCTCTGTCCCCCGGCTTCTACTACATGAGCATCAAATACAACGGACACCACATCGTCGGCTCGCCCTTCAAGATTGAAGCCACGGGTATGTCTACTCATTATGCTAATTTTAATATAGAGCATATTATAAACAGGAAAAATGTCTTTGTTTGTTTGCCTTAAATATACTCCGAAACCATTGAACCGATTTGATAAATTCTAGCACAATTCGGAAGCTACACTATCCCCGCTGAGAATCTATATTTATTACTAGATTTTTAATTCCGCGCAGACGAAGTCGCTGGCAAATTCTAGTAAGGTGTAAATCAGCATTTAACAGCTTAAGAAAATTTACTGAAATTATTTAATTTTTTATTTAATTGTTACTATTCATACTCAGGTGAGAACTTAGCAGAGATCGGTGCTCAGGAGACGTCCTCAGTGACAGTGGAGACAGTCCAGAAAGTATCGAAATCAGCTCAGAAGCAGGGCCCCGTGTTGCCACACTTCAAGTCTGATGCCACCAAAGTGACCAGCAAGGGCATGGGCCTGAAGAAAGCATATCTTAACAAACATAATCAGTTCACTGTGCACGCCGGGGATGCCGGTAAGTTTACTAAAGAGCATAATATAAGTGTTAACTATCACTTACTGTGGGTTTCTAAAACAAAAAAATCAAAATTCAAAAAATTAAGTCTAATAGCGTTGAAACTTACTTTTTTTCTCCAAACCATTTATTTGTGTTCGAACTCAATCGTTTCCTAGATTATAACACCTGTATGCATTATTTCTTTTTCAAATAACGTAGCAGCTCTTGACTTCATGAGAGTCGCTGCCAGAACACAATGTTAGCTGTGTGAGGGCATAGTAAGATACGTGGAGAGGTCACTGCGCAAACATGACTTAGAGCTGCCATAAAGATTGAAATGGACTATACTAGTCTTTACTTTCAGTCTTTTTAAGAAATGTTCACTATACTTACGTACTTAGGTAACAACATCCTGTATGTGGGTATCTACGGGCCGAAGGGTCCGTGTGACGAGGTGCAGCTGAAGCACAAAGGCAAGAACAACTACGAGTGCTGGTACGTGGTGCGCGACAGGGGAGAGTACATCGTCATCGTCAAGTGGGGGGACGAGCACATCCCCGGCTCACCATACAAAGTTGAAGTCTAAACTGTCACCTCTAACAGATAGCGTGCGTAATTATTTTTTTTTAATTTTCAGATTTAAAAAAAAAAAATTGAGTCGGAACAGGTATTCTTCTAAAATTTGGATAAAAATAAATTTAATAGATAAAAGATAATTTTGTCTTGCCCGCACGCTGTCAATTTACAAAAAAAAATTAGTGTATACGTAAAATATAATTGTGTTGTCGTTTTTTTCTATATATTCATATATAAAATGTAATCTATATAATAAAATAAGCATGCTGTCAACTTAAGTACACTATTTAGTTTGTTTAATGTAAGTAAATATAAGTATACTGTTCGATATTACGTGGATAAAAATATTACTATTACTATGTCTGCTTTTTTTTCACTATCGACACACCCTTATTCTGATGTGTTGTCTCTGTCTGTTATATAGAGAATGAGAGAGATGACACTACGTTTAAGTTCGGGTGTGTCGATAGTGAAGAAAATTAATGCAGACATAGGTTAAAACAATGGAATATTGTGTGAGGCGTTTACAGTTTCGTATCTCGTGTGTTTCTAGTCATGTTGTAAGGAAAAGTTGCATCGTAAACTTAAAAAAAAAAACTTTTTGTAGATTTATTAAGGAAGAATTTTACAACTAAAAATATAATAAAAACAAAATCTAAATATTATTTGAATAAAAGCAAAAAAAAAATCTTATTAAAATGTTAGAAATTATTTCTAATTTAATTTTCGGAATTGATCTCTCGATACCGAATATAGTTTTAATTTTTGTCATTTGTGCTTTTTTGTCAATTCTTTTTTTAATTTCTTTTTGTGCCTTTTGTCTTCTTTCAGTGTTGTGACGTCTTTATAGTAAGTAGCATTTTATCTAACCTTTTATATACATTTATATACATTTATATGATTCTCGTTTAGTATTTAGGGCGACTAAATGACAATACATATAAATTTTAACTGAAAATTATTATTCCCCTATTATTATTAAGTGAAAAGATACATCCTGTACCTCTAGAAATGTTCCAATTCTATTTCTTTATCAATTCTTTGACGACTTTTTATTAAAAAAAAAACGTTTACAAGGATTTTCATACGAATTAGATTGTTTCTGGAATGGTTTGACAATTAACAGAATTTTCTATTTTTATTCATCATTGTTGTAACTCATTATGAAAAGTCTAATATTTGTCCAAAGCCTATACAGGGTGTATCTTTTTTATATTTCATAAAAAAAAAGTTTGCTTTCTAATTTTTGTATGGTTTGTATGGTTTTTCCTGCGTAGGTAAAACGACCCCGTATTATTTGTAAATACCTAATTTAAGTATTTATTATATTTTTGCGACTGTTACTAAATAAAGAGAAAACTTCATAAATGTTTTTTAATTTTACAGACTCTTTGCTGCTAACTCTACCATTTGTACTTAAGTTTTTTTAGTTAAATTTAATACTATTTTAATATTTTACCCACAGATGTCGCTGTCTCCTGATTTTTTTTAAATTTCTCTTATCATTAAAGTATTGTAAAATGTTTTTCTGTACTTAATGCAATTTTTATATGATATTTATTTAAAAATTGTTAATTGTTGAAAATATTCTAAAGCTTTTAAATTGTTTTAAATTAATCTCAATAGATGTCTCTGACTTCCCTTTTTAATTATTACGATTTCTGGTTGATTTATCATAAATAAATTTAATTCTAAGTTAGAACTTTTCAACTACGTATAGTTTTGATAACCCAAGTATGTATTTTTTTAAGTAATAAGTAAGTTAGGGTGTAAAAACTAAAATATTTTGATAAAAAGGGTAAAAAGGGGGTTTAAATAAAAGATATCGTTCTTGGCATAGTTGTAATTAATTTTTAATTGATTTTAAGTAACAAAAAACTCCGTTCACTTTGATCTATAATCTTAAACGAGAACGCCTAGATAAAGCGAAACTATATTAAAAACGAAAATTACTTACAAAAATATATTTAAACGTAGCAATAAGTTTACACTTAACTAAAAAAAAATCAAATTACAATATCACATTTCTACTTACAATAGAGAGATATTGGCGATTCTAATTTCCCTTACAACCGAAAGAAAAAAAAACATTTGGATAAAAAAAAATCTTGGCTTGTCATGATCGTATTATACGAATAACGTCTCCCTGATATATGCTAAAACAATTCGGAAGAAAATATATTGCCGTAAATCCAAGTTGGGAATAACATTAAAAAGTTAAACGAAAGCTTATATTTGGCTAGCTTTGTGACGTAACGGATTTCTTACTTACGGAACCCATGTCCGAATCACATATACCACAACCTAACAAATTTTAAACTTATATAGCAAATTAATTTAGAAAGTACATCCGAACATTTTTCACCCACTTTTCCTATCACAATTTTCTCTAAACCTCTCCTCATTAAGACATAATCAACAAAAAAAAAAATGAAAATTTCGTATACAAAATCATATTCAACCGTCAACGGAAACATTTTAAGTACAAATTCATTAAAATCATCAAAAAAATTACAATTCAAAAAATGTTTCTTAAATTCTTGAATTGTACGGAAGAAAATTCCGAACATCAGGACCCAGAGGAGATTCTTACGTCTAATAAAATTGAGCATAAGCTTTGAAGACTTAAATTGAAAAATAAATGTTCAATAAGTATTCAAATATCCTCAAAATGGATTTATTTACACAATACTATGTACAAGTGCGCTTTCTCCTGATAAAAAAAAACAATTTTGGCCACACATTGATGGTTACAAAATACAAATGCTAATAAAAAATATATTCGACCTCCAAAATCAAGGAAGAAGATTTTCAAAGATAATACCAATTCTGAAGGAAGACTATATTTTCTAGAATTATTCATATCAAATAATTCATTAAGTGTTTTTGAATAAAGCTAAATAAAAACAAGGAATTATTCGATCTAAATAGGAACTGAGTGCAAATGTGATGAGAGATCTGCTGTCAGCAAAATACATTTATTGTGTACGATGAAATGCAACAGAAATATATAGTACTCTTGATGTAAAGTGGAATTTTATATATGAATAAATGTCAGGAACTCTGAACTTTATGACACCGTATTAAAGACGATAATTAAATGAAAGGTGTCACTATAAAAATATAATCACGTATATATCAGAAAAATGTCACAATAACCAGACTCGTATTAATTTAGAATAGCATTTGCTAATTGATGAATCAAAATTTTCATTCATGTACAAGCTTTTCGTTTTGCACCATTTATTGACCAGTTCTAGATTTCTTATCTTCTTTAAACATTTCGCTTTTATACCAAGAACTAGTAAATAAAGGGCACAAAATTTGCTTTTATTTAGAATCACAATTTAGTCTCGATTACAATCGTCATCTAGTAGATAAAAATTCAGAGTATTCATACACAATTTTGATTAGAGTCTAAAAAACATTGAACGTATCTCTCACTAACGATAAACGAGTTTTTGTATTTCATACATTTATAATACCAGTGTTCGATAGAGAGATTCTAAATTTTTTTTTGTTAATAATATTTCATATTTTTTTAAATACTAGTAATACCATCATAAGTACTATAATGTAGGTACGCCTACAGATAAAAGGGCAAGTTAGTTTACTGTTTGTCTTTGTGCGCTAGGGAGTGCGGCAGGATGTGCTCGGCGGGCAGCAACGCCGACGGTTGATGCGCGTAATTTCGAATTTGATGAAGCGATATCAACTGGTTCGGGAAAGAGTTAGGCTGCTGCTTGCCCTGCTGGAAGTGTAGTGGATCGTAGAGGTACGGTCGCGTCGGCAGGGCGCTGTGGTGAGACAGGCCGTTGAGGTGCGGTGCCATCGAGTTGATAGGCGTGAAGGCGGAGTTGGCGGCGGAGGAGACTGGCGGCTGGATGCGGTCGTCCTGGCCGTCGTGTTGCGCGAACAGCGCGCGTTGCTGCTGCAGCTGCTGCTCGTGGTGGTCGTCGTTCTCGCGTTGCTGGTGGTACCCACTCTCGTCAGACATGTGCGCCGCAGAGTCGGGGCTCACCTTGGGCCAGTAGGGATGCTCACCGAACGGGGCTGCAGTCGGCGCCGCTGCCGCTAGTGACCGATTCAAGCCGCTCAAGCCAAGCGCGGATATCGGCGGCCGCTTGTCCGCCCTTTCCGCGTGCTTGTTCATATGTTTACTTAAGTAAGTCTCCTGCGTGTAACTCTTGCCGCAATACTGACAGATGTGGGTCTTCAAATGCTTCGACTCTTTGTGTTTGGGAATGTGCTCGAGCAGGTCCTTTTCATGCGTAAAGCATTTGTAACAGGAGTTGCATTTGAAAGGCTTGTCGGTCTGGTGGCAGCGACTGTGGCTCTGCAGATTGGAGAGCTGAGAGAAGGCCTTGGTGCAGCCGATCTGTGTGCAGCGGTAGGGTTTGTCGCCGGTGTGCGTGCGGATATGCTGCTGCAGGTGCGATAGTTGTGTGAACTTGCGCTGGCAGATCTCACAGCGGTAGGGTTTGATGCCGAGGTGGATGCGCGAATGCTGAGCGAGGTACGACGAATTTGCGAACGCCTTCGGACACTGGGTGCAGCGGTACGGCTTTGCCTCGCGCAAATGAATCTGCGTGTGTAGTTGTAGGTCAGCCTTTGAACCGAACACCTGGAATTAAAAATAACAATAGTGAGTATATTATTTAATGTAGGGACTAGTTACAAGGTTGTAAGACGGTTACTACAAATATATAAATTCAGGGGAATCTAAAAAAACACGTAATGTCATGCAAAGTCAAAATATATATAAACACGGTGACACACTGCGCTTTACAAAGAAATAATATTTGGGGATTATTAATAATAAATAGCGCTCATGTATTAAGAGAAATATAAAGTGTATCCATTAATCTAATTTAAAATTCATCATCAGGCTCATCGTAACGCGCGTTTGCCCTTGAACAACATCCGAGGGCAACTGGAACAAATTGTGCTCATTCTGAGTGAAACAACGATGTTTTTTACGAGTTTCAACGAGGAACCGACATAAAGACAGGATACTAACTTTGCGGCAATTGTAAAGAGCCTTAATTAGCATTACTTCCTTAAAATCATCAGTCCGGTCAAAATAATCATACTTATAATACACTAACGAAAATTGTAAATGGTAAGTCAATGCCAAGGTAATTTGTAATGCGTCTAACATCCGTGAAATGTGTATATGCTATTTTATTTCTTATTGCGTGTAAGCAATGAAGCCTTTATTGCATAACTGATTTGATAGACGTTGTATCGAATTTGTCTAGATATAAGCTACACGTGCCAATAGACCTCGTCTATTAAGGCACGCCGGCGCTCACCGCGCGCTCAAAAGACTGTTTCGGTGATATTCATTGTGTTATACCAAATTAGTTTCTGAGTTGAAACCGTCTCGTCATCCTACCGATAGGTTTTATTCAACATCCAACAATGAAACTTTGGGCCACGTTCCTTCGGGCACCGGATTCTATGACCGTCGGAACATGACTCAATTTCAACGTCACAAACCAATTTTATGAATGCGCTCAAACAATTATAATCTTTAACTAATAGCTAATAGAGTTTAAATTACATCATCTTGTACAGATGTGGCTCGTCGAATTCTGCTTATCAGGAAGCACAATTACAAAGAAACTAAGATAGTTAGATCGAACGATTTTGAACTATAACTGAATGTTAATAAAGTTGAAATTCTAAATTGCATTAAGGTAGATTTAAATTGTATATGTTTACAAGAGCTATAAGATTCGGTAGCACGTCGAATGACTTGACAGAAAATGTGAGACACGAACGCGATTGGTCACAGCCTGAACATAATTAAAGTTTGAAGCACTACTTAATGGCATGATGCTGGAAATTCGAGGTGGTGGCTGACTTTTAATAGGACTTCGTGAAGGATCGATTCGCCGAAGAGGAATCTGTGTTAAATCAATGTATTAGACGAGCAACTCAATAGTATAAGGGAAATAGTTGAACGAGGAGAAAACCAATGAAGCAAATTTTAATATAAGCATAAAAAAACCTACTAAATTATTATAAGACAAAAAAATGTATGAACTCTAAATACAATTGTGTAATCTAATAGGTGCATGTTATAAATTAAACAAAGAGAAGAAAACACAAAAAGCTAAGAGAAATCAAACAGAAATGCTAACAAAACGAGTTGACAATTATACGAATGATAAAGGACTCTTAAGACAATCTGCATTATCATATCATTAAGAAGTAATTTCTAAAGGAAAGATTATTTAAATAATCGATTAAAGTATTTAAAGTTAACAGAGAATTATTTCTGTCCTTTCCTTTATGACTTGGATTGTCTAAAAGTCCAGTTTCCATTCGCCACCAACCTCGTGGTCGGAGGAGGCCAGGAGCCCCCATTCTGTTGGGTCGCTAGCGCTTTTCGGGATCCTAAAGTCCGTTGGATCCGATATGGTCTTTTTCCTCCCACGTCTATCTCCACCCGGTACCTGGTTAATTCCGTTAAATTTTGACTCCCATATGCCAATCAGATAAAGGTACACATAATTATGCCAAATCGGTTTGAATCATTACATTTACAACTTAAACTTAGCAATAGTAAAGATGTTAGAATGCTCCAACTTGATGAATTAACAGTTTTAACTTCAATCGGATTTAAAAGAGCCCATACATTTGGAGAGCATTTACTTATCAACGTCATGATTAGACAAGTTATCCGGAAGGTTACCACGGATTTGACAGAAGGGGTCATAGGATTAATGCTGTTATTAAAAGGGGCCTGTCCACTGTGGCATATTTTACCGACCCTTATAAAGCTGCGAAAAATTGCAGTGACCCAACTCAAGATCTATTTGTCTATTATGAAGGCAAATTAAGGACACGCTAATTTTTTGTGTTACGTGTTAAAGTTTTTTTATTATTTTGGAATTATTAAATACGGAAAGTAAATGGTATCGAACATTTTTAAGGGACTGTAAATTCTCCTATCAGTTCTGATTTTGTCGCATAATAATTGATGATGGAGTTTATGGAGTAATAGTATAAAACTCAAACACTATCCCTATTTAGAACGGAGTATAAGCAATAAATATTTTCTTATAACAAATTACACTGTAATTAGCAAGGCAACACGTAATACGAGACATTATTTCCTTAAAATCAAGAGTAAAATTTTCTTGGGCATAAAAACTGAGAGGGGCGACAAAAACCCTCAAGCGTTGTTGGGTTTTTGTTGACCTAAAATTATTATAAATCGGCATAGGAAGGTTTATCTGAGCATATTAGGGTTTGTCCTTAGGGCTGTTGGGATTTCCTCTAATAAGGCGTAGTTTTTGTGACGCAGATGAATTTGTGAAAGCGTTTTAGAAGGGAGAGTTCTAAAATGAATTGCTGCTATTTTCAAACTTTTTGTGTTGACGAAATTTTAGCAAAGTAGGTAAAAAATTAAGGTATGTTTTGCTATGTGTTAAGTAGTGTCACAGTTGGAATTAATTGAATTGTTACACTGTTATAAATCAATGGTCAATGATTTCGACATTTTTTCAATCCAATTAGATTGTAGACTATAAAATTCTACAAGTTTCATTGGAACACAATCCTTTTTTGTACATCTGAGACATTCAACGTAATCTGTGGCTGGGTACAAATTTTTTACATTTCTGGATTTTTTTCTTATAAAAAAATCATAGGAATTGCAAGGCGTGACTATTCCCGTAGTAGTTTTTTTTTATTTCGCTATATGGTATCATTGGCATTCCAGAATCTAATTTTATACTTTAATTGAGCACGACTACACATTTTTCTAACTAAATGCGCGAGAAAACGCGCCAAGTTAAATATTTAAAGGAAAAAACTTAACACGATGTAGTTTAAAATGCTTAAATATTAATAATAATAATAAATGTATGAGGGATGATTAATACACAATATAAAATTTTATAATTTTTAAGGTTCCGTACCTCGTACACTTATAGAGGTTTCTTACCGGAGTTTCTCGCTTATAGACTGTCGGGAGCGGACAATAACTCGCCTATCCAGGTTCGACGTATTTCACATTCGTTATCAAAAAAACTTATATATAAAATTGTCGTGTCACAATGTTAGTTACCATACTCCTCCGCAATGGTTTGACAGATTTTTGTGAAATTTTATATGCATATTCAGTAGGTCTAAAAGTCATCTATTTTTTATCCAGCGCGGACGGAGTCGCAGACGACAGCTAGTATTATACAAATATTGTTAAGTTGACCTTGAAATAGTTAATAATATATCTATTGTTTTGGAATTTATGTATTATTAATAAATCCGACATATTTAATATGTGAACATAAATGAAAATTTAACCTTTGTCAAATTCTTATTGCGACCGCCAAAACCTTTTATGTCAGTCACGTGTCAAGCAAAGATGAAATTTAAATATGAAGGCTTTACTAAGATTTCACGTGATATACCATATTACATAATTATGTTTAACAATTATTGCTTTTATGTTAAATATCTTTTGTTCTTAACATATATAAAATAACGAATACATGAATTTAGAATTCATTTTTTATTACAAGTTTTTAATTATTTTAAGTATCGATAAAATTATGAGAAGTTAATAAAAAAAACTGTAAAAAACAGACTAATTATATTCAGTAATAGTTGATATAAGTTTTACCAGACATCGGGAATATAAATCGTATATTTGCATAATAATAATTGGTTTTTTCGCGCTTGACTGCTTCTGTTATCTTTTGGCTACATAGTTTTTGGCGGTAAAACCTAACTACGACAAGGGTTTCAACTGCAATTACATTCTAACATCAGCCTTAAAACAACAAAAAGACGACAATAAATAATTCAGACAAACGGCATTTTTTTAATCATCATCATCAGCTCACTATACGTCCACCGAGGGGCTCGGAGCCTACCCTAAGTTAAGGGTGATTATGCCATAGTCAACCTTGCAGACGGGGCCGCGGACGCAGACGGGGCCACGGACGAGAGCGAAAGCGTGCCCGTGGTCCCGTCCCGATGCGTTGGAGGAACAGAGGGGATTAGTGGGTATGCCTCCGCTATGGAGGAGAATCCCACATAACTACCGCGTCCCCCCCGGGGCGCGGAGTATGCATAAAGCATTCCCCTCTGAAAAAAAAGGCCATAGTCAACCACGCTGGCCAAGTGTACATTTTTTTAGTATCTGTAGGAATATTTAATTTCTAATTTCCTTTATTAGAACACTTGACCTATTTAAAACGTGCATTTTGTAATAATATTTAATTATATCACGGAAAATCGTCGCATTTCAAGTTTTCCTCGGCGACCTCCGATAGTCAACATTTTGGCGGCAAAAAGTCCCTCGCCAATGTCATCCGCGGCCATGCGTTAAAATGGCGCAACCGTTGATATAGATAAAAAAGCCGAGTAATCTAGGTAAACAGCGAGAAATCAAGCGGCAATGTTACTAAATCTAATGATTTGACACCGAGTCCCCAGAGTGTTCCGACTACGGTTTTTTTTTTGTTTTGAAACATTACAGTATTCATGAATCGAGATAAAGCAATCATTTATAATCAGCCAGTGTTGCGATATTTGACGATAATCTACGCGGATTTTGATTTTAATTGACATTTTTCATAGCAATATTACTACTAATTGCGAAGG